TTAGTCGTATGTTGGCAAGATGTTCTTGAAAAATATACTACTTTTTCTTATCAAAAATTATTAATAGTGATTGCAATGCTACTTATTGATTTTTTTGAAATTACAAATCACTATACAAAAGGAAAAAAAATCAAAAATGTTTTTGATCAAATAATTTTTGATGTTCTATTCTTAAAAGAAAATCCAATGGGTTCGAGTGCAGTTTGAAAAAAAAATTGGGATTGCAATTTAAAGCAATTAATTGCAATTTGAAAATCTTAATTTTAAACTGCACTAGTGGTATTTCATTTCAAACTGCACGAGATTTGATTTTCGATACATTATATGAAGTTTCAAAATAACAACTAGTGTTTCACGATAGCATTAATCCCTTGAAAAATTCAGTAACTGCTCTTTCTTAAAAATATTATATAAGTTTCAAAATAGCAACTAGTGTTTGACGATAGCAATAATCTTGAAAAACAAACCGCTCTTTCTAAAAAACATGACGTAAGTTTCAAAATAACAACTAGTGTTTGACGATAGCAATAATCTTGGAAAACAAACCGCTCTTTCTAAAAAAACATTACGTAAGTTTCAAAATAACAACTAGTTTTTGACGATAGCAATAATCTTGAAAAACAAACTACTGCTCTTTCTAAAAAACATTACGTAAGTTTAAAAATAACGACTAGTATTTCAAGATAGCATTAATCCCTAGAAAAATTAACTGCTCTTTCTTAAAAACATTACGTAAGTTTCAAAATAACTTTTCGTAATTAATTAACCTTATCATATAATTATCCATAAAATACCTATATTTCTCCTTTTCGAAAAACTGATATTTTAACATGTGAAAATATCGTTACCATGTGTATTTAAGCTATTAGTTTATGAATAAAAACCTTTTATAATGATAAAAAGCTTATCAAGTTGATTTTATGGATAATTATATAATAAATAGAATATTACATGGGCGCTTGGAGATACGAAATTTATCTTCTTCTGTTGAAAATCTCCCACTCGTTCGCGCTGCGCTCATTTGTGAGACCGAGATCTTTTCAACACTCAAAGATGAATTTCGTATCTCCTCGCGCCCATGTAATATCCTTTATATCTAATTGATGTACACCTAATTGCAACTACGTTGTCGTATAAAAATAAAGAAGAACAAAATGATAATTAGGCATTAATCAGAGATAGTTTATTTATTTTAATTCTAAATCCCCTAGATTGCTGAGAAAAAATGTGTTTTAGTATAATATACCAACAAAGTAATATCAAAAATGTCGGTCTATACCTTCAAAACAGCGAAATTAATTACTAATTAAAATAATTACTCCCTTTTTGCTTAAAATATAAATAATTTATATTTGTAGTTTTGCGTGATATTTTTTCTTTTTATATGACAACGTTCTTGCAATTTCAATTTCATTTTTATCTACTGACGACCCTAAAAACTCGAGACCGGAAAACAAAAGCAGAAATTAGAATAACAAAACAAGCATCTCCTGGATTCGAGGCTAAGCCTTCATACGCTGGAGTTTTAAGAGTCGTCAATTACTTTAGGACTTTGAAAACTGACTACCAAATCGAGGTTAAAATAGAGGTGGTGGCATAATCGAGGTTGTGAGGACACTAGAGAAAAACGTTTGCGCATGCGTGCACTTCAGCACGTTTTCTAAAAATTTTGAAGAGTTGGAGTGAGAAAATAAATGTTTGTTTTCTCCAAGTATACAAAAAAAAAAAAAAGAGAGTATACTTTTGTCAGACCAAGATACTGTATTAACAAACACAACATGAAAGAATTAGCCTTAAGTTGCAAGCATGGACACTAAGTTTTAGCATTTTGTGAAGTCCAATTTATCAGGCATGTTTGAAAGTCAAATTTACTTATGTTTTGACTAATTTGCATACGGATTCAGAGCATGCGCAGACGTTTTTCACTCGTGTCGGTTGTGAGGTATTTGTTTTAAAGTCTTACGTCACACTGACGTCACAAGTGCCAAAAAAAAACAAAAACAACACAACAACAACATTAACAAAAAGCGCAAAAGACAAACGCGCAAAACAACACGTAGAAAAACTATAAATTTCGGGTGTGTGCTGGTGCTTGTGTTTCCTTCGTTGGAGCTTTTGCTTAGTGAGTGAACATGTCTAGTAATCTGCCCAAGACACCCGAAAGGAAAAAAGGTAAAGAACTTTCGATGCTCGAACTGGCAGAATATTTCAGGCAGAGGAATCAAATGATTTTCGGTTATGGAGATGATAGGTCGGTGAACTACAAACATGAGAGACTCGATGTCCCCGAAGAGCGCCCAAGAGCAAGGTCAGCCGAAGACTGGAAGACTGCGTCCTCTAGAAATATGCTCCCACACAGTTCTACAAAGAATGACACAATTCATATCAAGTCATCAGTTTCGAAATCGGTTCAGACCGACATAACGGCCTTTGTCGGCGGAGAAAACTATGATACCAGGGTCGTTTTTCCTGAGGAGTCGACGGAATTCGAATATGTCCAGAAACGCTCCAAGACAAAGAAAAAACAAAGAGGTAAAAACGGCCATGGTGAAAGTCAAAGAAGAGCGCCTCCAGAAGCTCAAGAAAGGACCTGAAAAAGACCGGCTACTAGAAAAATAAATCGAGCAAGATGAAAGAAATATTAATTTTCTATTCTAGATTTAAATACCATATTCTAAATTAGACTATCGAGATTGCTTATAGTTTTTAGTTACATTGGGCATTTTTCGATACGCTCAGTGTATACGTCTGACGACTGTACCTCAGTACTGCCGAACCATTTTTTTTTTTTCAATCATTATTTTAAAAGTTAAAAACATTTTTTGGATCCAATTTTAAGTTTCAGAGTCTGCACAGTCAGCTCGATATCGGTCAGTTTATAGTTTAGGCTTTTTTGGCCACCACAAACAAACTTTAATATCTTTACATGTAATTTCCATATTTTATTCTTATCATTGATTCTTCATTGATTTGCACTTCACTTTGTAATATAGATATTACATGGGTGAGTGGAGATACGAAATTTATCTTCGAGTGTTGAAAAGATCTCTAACGAGCGAGCGTAGCGATAATTGTTATATAATTATCCATAAAATTAACTTAATAAGCTTTTTATTATTATAAAAAGTTTTTATTTATAAACTAATAGCTTATATTCACATGGTAACGATATTTTCACATGTGAAAATATCAGTTTTTTCGAAAAGGAGAAATATAGGTATTTATGGATAATTATATGATAAATATAATAATCATTTTAATTAAAATTACGTGTGAGTAACTGAAGTCTAAAGCATGGTACTTCATGATATTTTTTTGAAACTTAACGAGTATTGATCGACATATATTCTTTGTAAGATTTAATTCAAAGGTTTTCAAAAATTTATATATTTTTTCATGCGCTAGTATAAATGCAATTGGTAGTGAAATTAATTTTAAATAATTTAACCTTGTCAGCATCAATTTAATGAAGTTTTCGCTCACCAAAAATAAAATGTTATGATTTTTGAACAGGCTGCTGAACAGGCTGCTAACTTCGGCGTGCATGGTAATAATTACATTGTAAAACAAATGTTTCAAAGGTGCGCTTTACAGTGCTTTAACAATTTTTTAATGCATTATCATTTTTTCCCTCATGACTATGATGTTGTACGTCGATAATTTACATGCTGAAATAAAGAGAACTGAAGCAACAATACTATTTCTTTCTTTTTTTATTCATAAATTCATCCATCCATCCATCCATCCATCCATCCATCCATCCATCCATCCATCC